TACTTTCTATAAGAGTATTCCCTAAGAAAAACTAAGTAGAAGCGGAGTCTGGTTTAGCCTTTAAATCACAACACTTTCATTTAATCACATAGAAGCTCAAACACTGTAAATAAATATTCTTTATGATCTTATGATGGCATGAGACTTTGTAGATAGAGATGGTTTTGCATATATGTGACAAAAAGTGAATAATTATTTGGCATAGCATTCTTCCTTTCTTTTCAAACAAGAGACTTTGTTATGCAAAAAAGATAATAATGTATTAAACTAAAAGAATAAGTCAATTGCAGCACTGAGACAATTGTTTTCCAATGGCGTTGATGAAAAATCTCAGTAACAGTCTAATACCGGAGATTAGGTTGGCAGGAAAATACTCAACCCGAATGTATTACACTACTGGCAATCAGCACATTTTAAAAATGTATACATATATATTTGGCAGTTGCTTTGCCAATCTTCAAACAATCTGCTATCTTTATCAGCAAATGCTTTTTTCTGCTAGTAGTGCTTAGCTGATTTCATCACATACCATCAGCAAGAGAAACATTAGAATAAGACATTGCTTGTTGCAGCTAGTCCGCTATTTAAGGAAGGCATGATTTTCTTAAATCATCTGCGCTCAATGGTAACTATACAAAAGAACTGTGGATATACTGTTTCTCACTCGTGCACATCAAGCTGTAGAACCTTCCACTAGCTTTGCAGCAAAATACAAGCTAAGCAACCAGATGAAAGCCATATTTGCAGCGAGTAAACTGTTTTAAAGTCTCAAGTACAACTAGAAACATAAAGGTACTGCAGTACTGCTGGTGACCTGAGGATAATATGGAGATATAAAAGGAACCTCAGCAGGTTTCTGAGACGGGCATCCTTTTCATCCAGCTGTGCTCTGTAGAGATACAAGCTTTCAAAAAACTCAGCGTATCACCAGTTTTAAGATAAAGTACTACCAATACCCATGTAAAATTAGAAAGTTAGAACTAGGATTACATACAAAACAATTTATGCAAAGGAGATGGTTGAGGGGAGAGAAGAAAGCTCCAGGTATTTGTGGATACCAAATGAACTGAGATGCCCCAGCTCCAAGGAGTATTGCAGAGGATGGTAGATCAGAGAAACAGCATCAGAGAAACAACTTGCTGAAGCACCAGGCAAAGGACAAACAGGCGAAAGCATTGAAGTACAAGGTGTTGCTGTCCTTATTAGGCAGTGAGAGACAGAGGGAAATCAATACAATGATGGCTATGGCAGCTGTCGATGTAGAAGAAATATTTTAAAAGACTAACAATAAATAGAGAAAGGAGAGCTTAAGCCACTGTCCTGAAAACATGATTTATAACTGCAGAAAATTAGTAGTAGAGTGGGAATGGGTTTTGAGGAAAATCTTAGTTCTTTTGAATGAAGTCTTGGCTAGGTTCCTAGTCTTGACAAGAAAATGAGATACAGAATGGTGAAAAATCTTTTCACAAAAGCAGTCACCAAGCATGCCAAAGATCAGTAGGAATAGTTTTCAATAAGCCTCAGTGCCTCATTCTGAGCATAAGGCGGGAAGCATTTGAACATTTCCTTTAATGTTAGATAACTGAAGAACTGTGAAGTGGGGTGACTGGCCAGAAAGGGGAACAGAAGCACTCCCCAAGCTGGTAGAGTAGTCTGATGAGAGTAGTTCAGCAAGAGATCCGGGGAAAAGCCTGTGATCTGGTTCAAGGTTGCAAATGATGCTGCAAACAAATCAAAGTAATGAGGGAAAGGGACTGCATTGAAGGAAAGTGAAGTTTCGGCTTTTCTTTCTTTTCTCAGTAATTAACCTGAAATGATTTACCTTACTTAGTTTATGCTAAATTTATACCTAATTATGGGAAGCAAACCATTTTTTCTTTTTTTTTTTTTTTTTTTTTTTTTTAATTTCACTTCCTCACCTCTCCCTAATCTTTGATTTTATTCAGGTGACTTCACAGAAATATCTCCAAAATGAAGGGAATCCCTGAAGAGAGTATTCAGGAGCAGAGAGAGTTGCTGGAACCGGTTACTTACATTACATTTGGTACCAAACCTGAACAGCGACGTTGTTCTATAATACCAAGCTGCACAGATTTCAACTGTGATGAGTACAGAGACACTAAAGACGCAGGTTACCTATGTTAGTGGAAGCTCCTGTGGTATGAATTAGGGCAGGTAGTCTCCTTTAAAGGAATGGCAAGAGTGCCCTTGAACAAGCACGTGGGGGAATTCAGCCAGAGATAATGAATGAGCTGGAAAAGTAAGATTTTGATCATCTAATCTCATTAACTTTTCCCCCACATCTTGAAAATACTTTCTTCCATTGCTGCTGATGGTGTTTGGTGTAAAGGAGTGTTGTGTGGGGAACCTGGAGTTTGTAAGCCAATAGAGTATAGAACATACAGATTTTCAACAACTGTAGCACCAATAAGGTGAGTAGTATTCTTGAACCTGAAAAAGCACAGTTTGTGTGCGAAGCCACATAATACTTCATATTTCTGCCTCTGGAGCTAAATTACGGATGTAGCAATCCAGAACACTTTAAAACAAAGAGCACACTTGTTAATGGCTGCATTTTTAAATGCACAGAATATTCAGAGTTTTCCTTTTTGAGAGAAAACCGAGTAAAACAACCCCAGCTCGTGACAGAGAAGAATTTATCTCTAGGGTTCATCCAAAAGTGCTGTGAACTGCCCATAAGTAACAAGTAGCATTTATTCACAATGCAAACATCATCTCTCAGCAACCATTATCACAGCAGGTGCTCTGAAATGTATGTCAGCACACAACCTTTTAAACAGAGTAACAGTTGATAACAATGGCATTTGGGCAAGGGTCCCCCAAAACAACTCTAAGTCAGAACAGATCTGTTCAAGCCATCCACATACCATGCACTACCAGAATAATTTTTAAAGGCATTCAATAAGCCTGTACCCAATTTTATAGGCTTTATAAAAGTTATAAACTTCATCGTGAAAGTTATAAAAGATAACCAAATAAGGCATGTGGAGAAAATTCAAAAGGCATGGGAAGCTAACGCTGTGAAATATCATGTTGGTAGGCCAGCTACTTTACCAAAATCCAGAAAATTATGTCTTATGTTAAGCCCATTTTAGGATACTATAGAATTGCTATTGGGATCATTCCTTGTATTATGTAATTGCTGAGGGAAAAGGACATACAGACAAGTTTGCTTTTACACACTTTTACTGTCAAATGTGTTTTGACTAAGTTCTATGAAAGCAGCATGACGATAAAATTGCAGTCAGTGTGTTAAAAGATTACAGTACAATACTCTGCATTTTAAAGAAAAAAAAACAGAACTACCAGCAAAGAGAACAACAATGAACAGATGAATTTAAAAGACAGGCATGTCTTTCTTACAGAATCATTACCAAGATTTGAAGCATGTGAGCCCGTCTATACTCACAGACACAGTTCAGAATAATCAGCCTATAGTAGAAGTTAACGACCAGTTTAAGCACTGAAAAAACATGTGGTTTTAATGCCTCCTGTTTGTTTTTCAAACAGGAAATATTATGACACTCTTTTGGAAAAATATTGTAAGTATAATGACTTTCAGGAAAGGGTAAATTGCTTATATTCCTGTGAAGTTACTGGATTCATATCATAGCTGTATGGCAAAGGAATTCAAAGACAAATATTTCTTCACAACTTTCTTTTGACCAGATTAAAAAAAAAAAAAAAAAAAAAAAGGCATGTCTGATGCTTCAAGGACTTGCAGAGACTGTGCAAGCAGTCAGATTAAATTTGCAGATTCAGGTAGGTTCAAACATAGAAAGACTTAGAATGGAAAGTTTTAGAATATAAGAATTAACTTTGCAGCCTCTTGCCATCAGTAGTTAATTAAAAATCTACTGTCACCCACAGGAGGAATACTACACCACAGGACATTTCTGTGGAGCATATGCACGACCTTAATTCCTTGGTATCGCTGATGGGGCTAAAACTGGCTATGATACACCTCCCTCTCTTTTGTGTGGAGAAACATTTTCATCTTCTTCTCCACCGTAAAACACAGCAATAAAATTTTCCTCCTCTCCAGAAGTTACTAACTGCTATTTCAAAAAGCTGCTCTAAAAAACTTTCCGCAACTCCCAGGATCTTCAATTCTTTAAAAGCTAAATAGACAAGGCAACTGCTCCTTCCCTTCAGTATGTGTGTAAACTTGGGAGAAAAGATAGTAATCATATTCCTAAATTGCTTAGCAACTGTAGGTAAAAAAGCTAATATGTCATAATTTGTATGTGAAGTGATTGCAGCTGGTTAGTAGCCACGTCTAGTGCTATTGAGGCTTACCACTGAGAACTGCACTGCAACTGGCAGCTGACTCAAAGCACTGCTATTTTCAACAGTTCAGAAAATGTAAACGTGTCAGTGACTGGTCAAATAGGCTTCCATACCAGTGATTTATTGCAATTTTTCACATTAGCGTACTACTGACTTGTATAAATCACTCCCAGGCTGAACACAACTCCTGTGCACAGCTTTATAACGAATTCATATGCTGAATCAGTCTTGCTAGCTTCTGAGTGATGTTGGAAGCCAATTTTGAGCAGTCTCAATTAGACAAAGATAATTTCTATGGACCAGGTTTGCTAAAGTGAACAAAGTTGAAGCAAACATGATTTTCCAGGGAGCTTTGGAAGGACAGAAGGGGAAAAACAAATAATGTCTCTCAACAAAAAAGGAGAAGCCAGTGAAACAGATCTGCAAGTACCATTTGTGTCCATTAACCAAGGAAAATTCATAGCCACTGGGCAACTCATAAGGTTTGGCTAGTGGAGGTGAAGGTTTCCCTCAGCAGGGTTTTCTGCAACCTGGGTGGGCTTTCACAACTTCATCATCTACAAGTGGCACGGTTAGGATGGTTACACTCAGAAACTGAAGAATGCGAACATAATCCTAAACCAGTCAACCATCCCCATACCTGAAACAGAAAGAAGATACACGTTGGGAAAACATATGTGAAACTTTACCTGCAACCACTGTGACTGGTCATTGTGGCCAGAGGTCCAGGCGTTAACTTTGCCTTGCTTGTCCAGCCGGGCTTTCCTGGGCTCCCAAGCAAACATGTCCATGTTGAGTGTACGGAAAACACTAGAGGCAGTAATTTGGTAGTCCTGTATATGTCCTGATTTCATCCCCAGGGGTTCAGAACAACCTGGAACAGCAAAATAAGATCAAAAACAATTCTTGAAGAAAAGGCTTTAATCAAGACTATTGTTGGAGGAACTTACAAACAAACATGAAAAATAGCCAATTTAAGGCACTTTATTTAAACTCTACTGAGGAAGAATCAAAAACAAGATAGAGAATTCAACATATTTTATCCTGGCATTAATTTATGACGGCAAACAAACAGAAAGGATGACTTTCTTCTCTTTTTATCTTGGTTTTATTTTCCTGTCCAGCAGCTTGCTATTGTTTCCTTTATTGAGTTCAATTTGATCATGCTTTTATGCCATGTCACATCAGCCATGTGTTTGCCTACTGAGGAAACATTAATTTTCCTTAAAGCCACAGCTGAAGTAAAATTATAACAAGCAAGGAGCTCCTCTACACTTTTGAATTACTTGACAGCTAGTCAAAAACTTAGAAAGCCCCAACACCCATTGACAGAGTGGAAGACTACAGAAAAACAACTATGAAGGAGGGAGAATAGTAGGAGATAATGATTTAGGACAAACTGAGAGTTAATGGCTTATTTATTTAAACCCGGTGGATGTACCACATAATCTAATTATTTTGATTGTAGCAAAAGATAGATCTTGGGCTTCTCCTTTCTCTGTTGGGTGTCCATGCAAAAAAAAAAAAAAAAAAAAAAAATTAGTAGGTGTTTCTATGTTCTTCTGCATTGCTATTGTACACTGGGAACACAGGAGGTACATTTGGACCCAGAAGAGGGAAGAAGCCAGGTGACAACAGGAGAGACATCCTCTGATAACAGCATTGTAACAACAGGAAGCCAAAAGGTGGATGAGTTGTATGGTTTCAAGTTTAAAAAACATAAGGAAAAGAGAGGCAAGTCAAGTGACTGAGAGCAAGAGTGCTGCTAAGAGGTCAGGAAAGGTGGATGGTCGGCTGGGTGGAGCAATGTTTGATGGTTAGAATCATAGAATCATAGAATGGTTTAGGTTGGAAAGGACCTTGAAGATCATCGAGTTCCAACCCCCCTGCCATGGGCAGGGAC